TTTACGGAGACTTTCCACGGTCTCCAACCCTCCTCCTTTCTCATCCGGGCTTGGGACCGGCCATGGCGGACCATGCTAACTTGTTCAGCTTATTTTTCATCAATCTTGCAGTCTTCCTACCCACGGTTAACTTTCTCCTGGAACATATTCTAGTGTCTTTCTGGTCCTGCGATGGTCTGTTCTTCTTGCAGCGTGTCTTTTCCATTGCTACTTTTACTACTTCACCCGAGTAATCGTATTGCAGACTTTTCTTTGTCTTCTTACTCATTCGTTTGTATTCTTATGCCGAACATGCATTTTTTCATTTTGCGTAGTGCAGTTTATGAGTAGCTTTCAGGTTTACGGTCCATATACCACATTCATTGGTTAAATTGAAACCACTTGCTACTCGAAAACCTTTCATTTCCCTGGATCAGAACATTTTTAATCTTTCATAAGTGCTCGATGCTAATTTAATTTTATTCTTTCGTTGATTTTACATTGTCCATTCTCCGTTGTTGAGATCAGTTGTACATCCGGCTTAGTAGTTTTGCACTTCTACAAGCTAAAGCCCGTTGATTTCAGTAGATCGCATGGTAAGGCATCTGTTGAACGTGATCTGGGTCTTCTTCTCGTTCATTTTCAGTCTCATTTGAATGCTGGCGTCATTCAACTCTTGGATTTTTCTTTAGAGTTCTTCTGTCGACTTTGAGGTGATCAAAATTTCGTCAGCGAAACGCAGTTGGCCTTAATGGTGTAGATTTATCTGTAGCCGTTGATAACCTCAGCGGAGTGTTTTGAAAACTTCTTCTGGGGATCCGTGAATAATCTCAATCTTTGACTTAATTTCTTCAATAGTTTACTTCTTCAGCAGTTGGATGTCAGGTGTGTTGTTTTATCCATGTCCTTAAGGCTTTGCAACGTTCCACCTATTCGATCTTTGATTTCTGATGTGTTGCCGTGTTCATTTATGTTCGTTTGTTCATAAGTGCGTTTATCTGTTTTATGATTTTTCTGTTAGCCTTTATAATACTTGTTTCAGAGATGTTTTCTCTCTGTTTTTAATTGTCTTCCTTATTTTCTGAATGTGTTATTTAATTTAAGTTGGATTACGATTCTTCTTCGTTGTTTCTACATCAGGTATGTTGCGAGTGGTTCTCGATTCTTATCAGCTTCCTTCTTACCAGGGTGAGTTTAGACGTACTTTACATCTGATTGGACCTGTGATCGTTTCTTGCGTTCAACCTGTTCAGCGGCGCGACGTTATGTACTGATGTTTTATTGAGAATGAAATCTGTGTCATTACTGACAGACGTCGTTTTGGTCTTTTCATTCAAATTTTTTGCTTAGTTTCTTCTGAGGAAAAGTGAACCTATTAAATAACTTGTTGTTTTTAGCAAACCCCATTTGTCGGTCAAGCTAATCCTTTGTTTCGTCGTAATCAATATCAGTTCACAAAACGTTGGTTACATTTCTGTTGTCTGACTTTGGCATTAAAATCACTTCTAGTAATTCTTCCTTTGTTCATAAATTTCTACTTCTTAGTAAAAATTTTCAGCCCGTTCATTAGGATGGCTTGATTCAACGCATATGCTTGAATCCCTTCGACTTCCTATTTGCTTGACGCTCAAAACAAATCCTGCACGAGTCTCCAAAGTACTGTGTTCTTCTTACCAGATAATTTTTTTATTCTTTTCTAGAAACTGAACTCAGCTTCTCTAGTAATTCCATTTGCTGATCCTCTATAGAGCAGACCATGTCCGCCGTTGAGCTCTAATAGTCATTCCTCCTTTAATCTAACTTCATTCAGTCCCGTTTGATTTTCCTAAGCTCTTTTAGCTCTTGAAACCTTGCTTAACCTATAAGTCATCTTCCAGCGTTAGTGAACCGTAGCAGTTCCGATTTTTAACCCTGGTATTCGTAGTATTCTCTGCCTTTATGCCTGACCTTCACCGGTAGCATTCCAGCCTCTGGGAATGAGGCATCTATTTTCATTTTGAAGGATGTAATTCACCATTTTGTGTGGCTGGTTAGTGACTGTTGCCTCCTCCACTTTGTGAGTATATTTCTTAAGCTTTGATGCTTAGCTGTACATCGTTTTGAAAGTCCGTCGCTACAGTGCGACCATGTTGAAGCAGTTAGGGTAGGGACCATGAACGATATGTGTGTGTAATTTATTACAACTTTCACAATGATATATTTGCATCAATAGCTCGACATGATTTCAACTTATTGGATGTCAACCCTCAAGTGATAATTATTGCAAATAGACAATTTGAGCAGCCATGAGAGAAATAAAAAATTTGCTCTAATTGAGGAAAACGCATAATTGTTTGTAGGTGATCGTAAATGTGATGTAATGTCAAATACGTGTTCAAAGCTTTATATTATGCATGGCGGGTGGTAGGCTAATGTATTAACGTCTGTTAACGGGATAGGATTGCATTTTAAATGGACTGTTGCCGCGTAGTGATTGCCAAATTATTTATAATGGTTATTCCGGCTGATCTACAGGTTTATATAATACAGGTTACTTATATTTACATAACTGAAAGCTTTAATCATTATCGATTGGCGTATTTTTATAATCCTGCAAAGTTGCCTTCACTTTTTCATAAGTATTTTATTATTGAATCAGTGATTGCTTAAAATTTGCAGGAGTCGCAATTCGCGTGTGCATTTGATCAAGCCGTATACGTAAAAATTTATTAGTTATTGTTTTAGTATTCATGGAGTTAGTTTTTAAATTTATGATCTTTTGAAATAACTCAGGTTTTTTGAAATTATTGATTAAATGTAAAAGAATTTAAGAAACGTGTAGCTGATGTTTTGGATTGCTGCGCCATGAGGTAGATGTTTGTTCTTTTTTTAGCAATACGAGTTTCCGATAGCGCAAGAGAGAACGTTCTTGCGCTCATTTTACAGACTGGCCAACAAAACGCAGTTCGACGTCGAAAAGTACAACTCTCTGAAGACTAAGGCTGCACAGCTACAGCGGCGATTGCAGATGCTTGGAGCGCCGCATGCCGAAACAGAATGGCAGTTGCGAGATTTTTCTGCCTGATTACCGTAATCGCTTCGCCTTTTCCTGACTACCTCTTTTATGTTCTGGAGGAGTTGAGATGCTTGATCGATCAGAATGTAAAACAGGTGCAAAGCCTCATCTGACCGACCTCCTGCGGTATGCTGTTGGTTTTGCCATTTCCGAGTTTGCTGTTGCGCCTTGTAAACTGCGTTGCAAACGAAGCAACACTGTGCCAAATTTCACGCGATATGTTTTTCGGTACTTCATTCTTTTGCGTGCTATTGTGATTGTTCTGAGATACGGTTCTTTTCGATGTGCATTTCACTAGCTTTGTGATTTCAGAATCACTGCTTATAGTTGCTATTTCGTTTACAGCTGTTTTGCCCCCACAATCACTATTAAATAATGTATTAGTTTTCGAAGCAGTAAAAGATGCTTCAGCTGCACATGTTGCGCAGCGAAAGGTTATGGTTGACTAAACGGTCGTATTGCATTGTACCGTTGCAGATGATATTTGGTATTCGTTTGCTGAATTCATTTTTCACGACCAGCTGTTGTGACAGTGTTGTATACAAACTATAAAACGATATCAGACAAGCTCTGATACTAGTTCTGAATGAGGTTTTTGACGAAGGGAACGAGTGCTGGTAGTTATCCCCCAGAAAACTGTATGTTTGTTTGATCATCAGCTTGATCCGTATGCGCAAGCAGTTTTCTGGTTTGTGATTGTATGCTTCCTATTAGCTGCTTTACAACACATGTTATAAGGCTTTGGTTACTGCATCATTGAAGGGATATTTTTTCTCTGAAAGCAGATATGCCTCTGCTTAATTCATCCAGATTGCGAGTTGGCTTCCCTGCCGACTTTTACCATGTTTTGGCTCCCATGCAAGAACCTTCGGCATTTTAGTAAATTGTTTATGCTCAACCAGCTTTTCTAACAGGTCAACCTCTTGTGCTAAGTTTCCTTATCTGCGGAGCACTCCTGCTGTCTTAAGAGGGTGTTAAAGGATGAGTGATGCCTGCGGATTGTGGCATTTCAGTTGATTTTCGAACGCATTTTCCTAAGGACCTACTCATTCACCCAGCGCTGAATCTGTGCCCTGCAGATGCTAAAATTCCATGAAGCTGTTACCTTCCAAAGTTAAGTTTGTAACTCGGAGTGTCTTTCTTCCTTACAGTGCGTGACTGGGCAAATTCTACCACTTTTGTTTTAATGAATTTAATGATAGGGCCCTGATCTCCATTTTTATATGATCAGACAGGAGTGCTTTTTTTAAAGACAGAATCGA